TTATATTAAAGGGTATTGGGCTCTCTGGGCTTGCACCAGTCGCCACAGGAGGTTTCGACGGGCTTCAGTTGGAGCCCAACCCGTCCCTAAGCGCTCCCCGAAGATGCCCAAGGTCCGATGCCGGAGATCCCCAAATCGAGAAAACTGAAATCACGAGATTCCTAAGCGCCTAAGGCCGATGCATGAAGCCGAAATCATGACACAAAGCCGTTGAAATCCCGAGATCCCTGGAACGGAACACTTGAATTGTAGATGCTCTGCCTGTTGCAGCTTTCAGGGTTTGAACCCTAAACCCTAAACTTTACGGAATGACGGCTAGGTTGGGCTAGGAGACTTTTGCATCGGAAGTTCGAGGGCTGAGGCGTTTAGGTAGGGTTTAGGGTTTAGGCTTTAGGGCTTAGGGTTGTAGAGTTTAGGGTGCAGGGTAACTTGCAGGTGTATCCAGAGTGTGCATAAACCTCCATAGCATAGGAACTCGCTGGAACCAACAGATCGAAAAATCAGAACCTTTAGAAACTACAAAACCTGATAGAGGACCGCACAACCCTAAAGCCCTAAATCCCTCCGAAGAAACGCCTGTAGAAGCCCTGTCACATCCCCTACACAACCTAGCCAGTAGAAAAACAGCTCACTTTTCATTCCGATTACACTTACCATTACCAGTACTATTACTATTACTACGTACTATTTACTATGTACTATGTGCTGCTACTGTTACCATTACTATTATTGCTACGATTAATGTTAGAGTACACTTGCTATTACTCTTACTGTTACTTGTTCTCTTACGGGGACTTGGTATGCTCAGTTTTGGGTGACCTGAGGTTTCGGCACCTAGCGCCAGGGCTTTAGGGTTTAAGGATCGAGGGAGGCTGCGCAGCTGCTGATAAGCATCGTAAGGTTTGGGTTCAGGGGTTTAGGGTTTATAGGGTTTAGGGCCTATAGGGTTTAGGAGTTTAGGGTTTAGGAGTCTAGGGTTTAGGGTTTATCGGGTTTAGGGTTTTTCTTTTGCGACCTCGAAGTTTCGGGCTGGACGGTCTACTTATGGGTGCTAAGGGATGCTCCCAAGCCCAAGATGAACTTCAAGGACGTATTTCATTCCTCAAGCGCTGCATAAACCCCAAACCTAAATCCCTAATCTGAAGCACTTCACCCGACACCACAAATGCACAACCAAAAACCATGAGCCCCAATCGCATACCCTAAAACTTGAAACCCGCAATCGCATTAACCCCAAGGCCAAGGCCCTACACCCTTCAGAACCTCGGAAGGCCACCATAGGTCTCCTCATAGATGAGGAACCCCAAAAACTACCTGAACAGGGACTTACACCTGTCAGTCAGTCATCCTTTAGCCAGAAAACCTATCACCCCAAACCCTAGCCCTAACCCCTAAGCCCCAAAGCACAAATCCTAAACCTAGCTAGCGCTTCAAAACCCTCACATCGGGTGCCTGCTTCTCACCGCTCAGGGCATTGAAGTAAAGGATGTTGTCCTGGCTTAGTTTGGGGCTCATAAGCCTACCTCAAAAGCCGTCGAATTTTTGTTAAGGGCTCCATGGGGGGAATTGAGGATTCCGGAATCCTTGGCAAGACGGCGTTTATACGTGTCATGGTACCAGGGTTCGATGTTTCTACTGGGGGTTCCCAAGGTTTCCAAGGGTTTCCAGGGCTTTTATCAAGTAGAGTACCAGGGTTCCGGGCTCTGTCGGATTCTACGGGAGTTAAAGGAAACTACAGGTGGGGAGTTTAGGGTATATAGGGCTTCCATAAAGCTTCTATAAGGTATATAGACCTTCTATAAGGCTCCTATAACGGTAACTACCCACCTGAAAATGTCCTAGAGGGAGAGGGCTTCCGGGTTTAGGATGAATGCTTATACTGCCCTAAAGCTGCAGGGATATGAATGGCCTTGCAGTGCTCAAGCGTTCAGGGAAACGGTGTGTTGTGCCTCCAACTGCAAACGCCACAAGAAGCCTTTTCTTGCCAGAGCGTGATGGCTTTCAATGGTCACGCCGAATGTGGACTGCAACAGGTATCATTTCTACCCGTCACGTAACACACGGCATCATGCACTGCCCAAGGACCATGCCGGTTCGAAGATTTGAAGTGTAAGAAACTTCGAAACCCAACCCTAAACCCTAAACCCGAAGCCCCTAAACCCTAAACCCTAAACCCCATATCTATCTGATTCCTGCTCCTTGGGCTTAGGCACAGGAGGCTCTCAGAACTCATCACCGTAACCTTCTTCCTCCCCTTCGCCCTCCGCTGTTTCGATGCCAACCTCTTCGTAATCCTGCCATGCCATGCTTGCGCGAACGATAGACTGCTGGGTTCAATGCTTCTGAAAAGGCGTGCTGTTTCGCAACCGACTCGCAGATCTCTAGACGAAAGGGGTAATTGCTTTCCTTAGGCGTGCTTTATGGCAGCTCTACAATTCAGATTCGTAACTTCCCTAAACCCTTAAGCCCTAAACCCTAAACCCCTAAACCCCTAAACCCTGAACCCCTAAACCCCAAACCCTAAACCCCGAACCCCTGAACCCTAAACCCCAAACCCTAAACCCCTAAACCCTGAACACCTAAACCCCTAAACCCCAAACCCCTAAACCCTAAACTAAACCCTGAACCCTAAACCCTGAACACCAAATCCCCTTGACCCTCAACCCCAAAACCCCCTTGACCTCTAAACCCTGAACCCTTCGCTTTGGCCTTCTCCAACGCCGCTAAGTCTTCGCGAGCCTCAGAGAACTCGCCCTCTTCCATACCTGGGCCACGAGGTGATCAAGAGCTAAACCCTAAGTTCAGAGAGCTTAGGTTTTAGGTTTAGGGTTTAGGGTTTAGGGTCTAGGGTCTAGGGGTCCAAAGGACCTAATAATCGGGTAGTTACGGATAGTAGTAATCTAGCTTAATATTTGGGAGAGTATATGATTATTAGGTACCTGGACCCTTAGTGAAAGGGTCTCTACCAGGACCCTCCTTGTACCTTCAAATAGAGGCTTATGGTCCCAAATGGTAGATGGAGGGTCTAGATAGGTTTCCAGAGAGTCCAATACTCCTTAGACAAGGAGTATACCTTAAATTATAGGGACCTTAAGACTATGGTTTTGAGGTATATTCCTTAATTAAGGGTATCTATATACCAGGACCCTCCTTGTACCCTCAAATAGGGGTATATGGTCCCAAATAAGGGGGACGTAGGGTCAAATAGCGGGTCTATGTAGGTTCCCTGTGACTGTCAAGAAACCGGGAACAAGAAAAAAAAAATAGTACTCCTGAACTGTATCATGCACCCCAAACCCAAAAACTGAACAAATGAAAATTAAGAAGAGTTCTTCTGCTCCACCGCCCAGATACCCTCTCCGACATAGTGGTGGACGAAAGCGCGCTTGGAGTACATCAGGTCGAATTTGTGATCGATGCGCGAGAAGACTTCGGCAATGGCTGTGCTGTTGGAGATCCTCAAGACGGACAAGGCGGTTAGGGTTTTGGGACTCAGGATTTCGAGTTGCTGGGGTTAGAGTTTTATGGGCTAAGGCTGTAAGACTCAATTATCGCACATGCACTTCGAAGCAGGACCGCCGACGATTCAGCTCAAAGACCCGACCGATCTGTGTTTTGCATGTTTAGGGTCTGGAGCTCTTTGGGTTCATAGGGTTTCGGGTTTCCCTGAACAAAGTTGTGTCTGGGAACATGCAGCAGGCGCGCATGACCTTCGCCAAATCACCACCGGGCACAACCGTGGGCGGCTGGTAGTTGATGCCGCACTTGAACCCAGTGGGGCACCAATCCACGAACTGGATGGTGCGCTTGGTCTTGATGGTAGCCACTGCGGCGTTTACATCTTTTGGCACGACATCGCCACCTGAGACAACTAACTTAGACACTGCGTCAAACCCGACATGCCGACACTCCCAACTTGTTGAACTCTGCCGCTGCATCATTCTGAGTGCACCACGGTACATCATGCAGCAGGCCATGTATTTGCCTCGGCTGCAGCTTGCCACATTACCTGCATCTAACCTGTAGCGCCCGTGGCCTGGACCCAATGGCACAAAACGTCACCTAAAGACTCTGGAATCCCCAATGGCCTATACCCTGGCTGAAGCCTTTAATCCGAAACTCTAGCTAAAACGTCCTCTCCAAGTCTCCATGGCGCGGATCACACTTGACCATCATCGATGCCGGTTCGAACACAGACATGGTGATCTCCGCCACAGACAGCTGCTCATGGTATGCCTTCCGGCTCAGCTCTTGGGTTCAAGGAAAAGTCTAGGTGACATAACTGACATAAGACGTATGTGTACCTATCCATCTTTCCTTCAATGCATAAAATACATAAACACATGTATATATATACACACACATATGCATGTCAGTCAGTCAGTCAGTCAGTCTGACTGTCTGTCTGTCTGTCTGTCTGTCTGTCTGTCTGTCTGCCTGCATGTCTGCATGTCTGCACGTATGTATGTATGTATGTACGTATGTAAGTAAGTAAGCAAGTATGTATGCATGTATGTGTATGTGT